ATAAGCTGGGGACACATCAGTTGGAAGTAACGGAAGAAGAGAAGGACCTCGGAGTCCTGATTGATCACAGGATGACTGTGAGCCGCCAATGTGACATGGCCATGAAAAAGGCTAATACGGTCGTGGGATGCATTAGGCGAGGTATTTCCAGTAGGGATAAGGAGATGTTAGTGCCGTTATACAAGGCATTGGTGAGACCTCATTTGGAATACTGTGTGCAGTTCTGGTCTCCCACGTTTAAGAAGGATGAATTCAAACTGGAACAGGTACAAAGAAGGGCCACTAGGATGATCCGAGGAATGGAAAACCTGCCATATGAAAGGAGACTTAAGGAGCTTGACTTGTTTACATTAACCAAAAGAAGGCTGAGGGGAGACATGATTGCTCTCTTTAAATATATTAGAGGGATAAATACCAGGGAGGGAGAGGAATTATTTAAGCTTAATACCAATGTGGACACAAGAACAAATGGATATAAACTGGCTATTAGGAAGTTTAGACTCAAAATTAGATGAAAGTTTCTAACCATTAGAGGAGTGAAGTTCTGGAACAGCCTTCCAAGGGAAGTAGTGGGGGCAAAAGACCTATCTGGCTTCAAGATTAAGCTAGAGGGGTTTATGAAGGGGATGGTTTGATGGGATAACATGATCTTGGCATCTAATTGACCTTTCACTGTCAGTGGTAAATAGGCCAATGGTGAGATGATAGGAGTTACTATAGAGAACTTTTCCTGGGTGTCTGGCTGGTGAATCTTGCCCACATGCTCAGGCTTCAGCTGATCGCCATATTTGGGGTCGGGAAGGAATTTTCTTCCAGGGTAGATTGGCAGAGGCCCTGGAGGTTTTTCACCTTCCTCTGTAGCATGGGGCACAGATCACTTGCTGGAGGATTCTCTGCATCTGGGCGTCCTTAAACCATTTGAGGACTTCAATATCTGAAATATAGGTGAGAGGATTATTCTAGGAGAGGGTGGGTGAGATTCTGTGGCCTGCATTGTACAGGGGGTTAGACTAGATGATCATAATGGTCCCTTCTGACCTTAAAGTCTATGAGTCTGAGTAATTGACTTCTTGAGGGTATGTCTTATAACAAGGTTTTGTCTCTCATAAAGTTGTCAGTGTCTCTGTTGCTCAGGCTAGGTCTTCAGCTCAACATTGAGAAATCCACTTTGAGCCTCATGTAAAGGATATAAATCAAAGGGGGTTCTTCAGATGCAGTATCAGAGTTTACCATTCCGTGGACATTAGCATAACATTAACAAGCCACATTTTAAAAAATTAGGTCAGTCTGCAGTTGCCAGCAAGACATTTCCTTCAGCTATTGGAAGGTTTTGTACCTTTTTGACATGACATGCCAGATTATGCTGTGCTTTTCTAGGTGTGGCTCAATTTATATCTCCAAATAAATAAGCCTGAACAAATTGGTGTCAGAGACTCTATCAATTTGTGGAAGGACTCAGGCAGTGTTTGTGCAAGTGTCTCATTAACCAGTCCTCCCCAAATATCACCATAATGGCAGATATATCGCAGGTGTTTGTGTGCGGGGGAGGGAATTTAAGGATATACACCATTAAAGGCAAATAGTCTGCCTAAGGAGCACCATTACACTCCCAGGCAATCAGAATTGCTTGATTTCACTTCCTTCCATTAATCTGGGACAATTCCATTAAAATCACAATAGGCGAAGTAGCCTCTATGTTCTACATCAACTGACAGGAGAATGAGGGGGAGGAGAAGATTCTCTTCTGTTTGTGTAGAAGCAAAGCTATGGGATTGCTATATAGCCAATCCCATCTTTATTTCAGCAACTTATCTGCCAGGCCCCGATGACCATAATGAGCACTAGGCCCTGCTCAAAAAGGTAGCTGCCAAACTGAATTTGGACATCTAGGAGCTAGCAGAGGAGTCTGACCTCTTTTAATGTCACCACTGTAGCCCAGGTTGTGTTGCCCATCCAACCAGGGTACCTAAAAATAGATAAGCCTTTGTGGCAGACCCCCTCTACCACTCTTCCTACTTCCGAGAAGGTGGAAAAGAAGAAATGTTTCCTGGCAAAGAGATTTGAATACCTGTATACCCATCGCCTGGGGAGTCCTTCGTTGTGTCAGCCATAAATGAAAATGACAGGCAGGGCCAGGTAACTGGCACACCAAAAAATAGATAACAAAGAGCTGGACTTGTTTGGCAGGAAAACTTATTTGTCATCTAGCCTGCAATTTCAAATGTCTAACTCAGGCCCTCTTAGGCAGGAACAACTTCAAATTGTGGGACTCCATCAGCAATTTCAAGGAGGGCCCTGCCCAGGACCCTAAATCCCTTTCTGCAGTACTCCTTCCTAGATAGTCACTTCCCATTTTGTATGTGTGAAGCGGATTGTTCCTTCCTAAGTGCAGCATTTTTCATTTGTCTTTATTAAACTTAATCTAATTTACCTCAGACCATTTCTTTAGTTTCTCCAGATCATTTTGAATTATGACCCTATCCTCCAAAGCAGTTTCAACCCCTCCCAGCTTGGTATCATCTGCAAACTTAATAAGTGTACTCTATGCCAGGGGTTCCCAAACTTTTTGACATGGGGACCAGTAAATCCATTCACGAGATTTCGGAGGACCGGTAACATTCATTTGTATATCTGCATATTAATTAAGCAAATGACAAATATGCAAAGCTTTTGATATGGCCACCCACAATATTCTTACCAGCAAGTTAAGGGAATATGGATTGGAAAAATGGACTGTAATCCAATAAAACCCTGCACCACCACATCGTGTATTTAAAAGGGGCTCATTTATTTTCAGAAAGCTGACATCATATTTGGAATTTTTTATCCATATTCTCATTCCGGATGGTGAATGCACCAGGTTCTCTCCATTCTGACCCATTGTAGTGCCTTTAAACCTCACTGTCAGCAGTGGGGATATTTAAAAGGCACTGCTTTAAAATTTTTATTCAGGATCTGCATGCGCCCTGAACTGTCATGCTCCCCGCTGGCCAATTCTTTTTCCCCACCTTCCCCCCCGCCCACCCTTCATATTCTCATTCCGGATGGTGAATGCACCAGGTTCTCTCCATTCTGACCCATTGTAGTGCCTTTAAACCTCACTGTCAGCAGTGGGGATATTTAAAAGGCACTGCTTTAAAATTTTTATTCAGGATCTGCATGCGCCCTGAACTGTCATGCTCCCCGCTGGCCAATTCTTTTTCCCCACCTTCCCCCCCGCCCACCCTTCACCAGCCCCGCT